GAGCGGGCGGCTGGCGGCGAATTTGCGACCCAAGCTGCGGGTAAGGTATCCGGCGCTTTCTGTGGTTTTATTTAATCGACAGGACGGAAATTTTCCTGGTGGATTGAATGAATTCTAGCTGCTCGTTAGACCAGGCTCAACAAAAATCACATGCAAAACATAACATGGTTAAAAAAAAAAAAAAAAAAAGAAACCCTTTATTGTCCAATAATGCCATAAAACCAGAGACGTTAAGGCAGTGCCACGGTCGCCGAAGCTGGTGCCGGGACAGCTATAGCTCTGCCCACACACCCCGCGTTGCCGTCGGCCCCCTACCCCGGTATTCGCTCTCCTTTTCCCCCACAGCGTGCTCCTCTCTGCAAAACTTGTGCTTTTGCGTTGCTCGGGCTTTTTCCCCCACTTCATTTTCTGCTGATTTGGTCCCCTAAGCGGACCCGTCGCAGGGGCTGCTGTGGGCCGTGGTGCCAAGCTAGGGGCCGGGAGCGTGGTGAGCTGAGTGGGCGCGCTTTGAGCTGCTTTGAGGCCAAACTAAACCTGTTGTGAACCTCGTAACTACCTGCCTTAAAATGGTAATGCTTTTTTAAAAAGATGCCATTGTTTAAAAATGTTTAAAATGTGTGAAAGCATGTGTTTCGTGTTTAGCAGTCACAAGAAGATGACTGGTTTGCCGTTTTCCCCTTGCCCCTTTCCAGTACGTCCCCTCAGGAGCCGTGCCCCTGTTCTGTCAGGCGCACCATGTCCTTGTGTGTGCAAGGAAGCAGCAAAGGAAGCAGCTCTCGCCTAGGCAGCCATGTCAGAGCAGCAGATCTGCTCCATGTACTGCACAGGTACGCGTGCCCGTACTGCGGCCGTTCCACGCTGTCGTGGCCAACACTGATGCTCTTCGAGCCAAAGCTTCATTTTGGTACTGATCTGTAGAGGTGCCTGTTTTAATTGGACGCTAGGGTTTCAAGTAGTGTGCATTACAGTCATCGCGATGATCTTGTTGCTTAGGTAAGCATTCCACTGTAATGCGACCAACACCAGCTCAATTCAGGGTTTTGGTTTTTTTTGTTTCAGAGGTGTCACTGAAATATGGCAGTCAAATGGACTGGTGGACATTCGTCCTCTATATTGTGCTTGAACATAAACGTGGAAGGGCTAGTGGCTTCAGGCGCGGAGAGAGGAGAGCTCACGCTCTGGGACAGGGGAGGTGCTCCAGCAGGACAGCTCCAGCTCCCGAAGGCAGACGATGTGACCTCCGTGGTGTTCTCTCCCCGCTGTCCCACCAGGCTGTACACCTCCCACGGAGAAACGATCAGTTTGCTGGATGTTCGATCCCTCAAGGAGCCCATTGAATGCTTCCGCGTGAATGAGGAGGAGATCAACTGCCTCTCAGTGAATGAGACCGACAATTTCTTGGCTGCGGCAGATGACTCGGGGGCAATAAAGGTTATGGACTTGGAAAACAAGAAAGTCAGCCGGTCCTTGAGGCACACAAACATCTGCTCTTCTGTTGTCTTTCGACCTCAGAGGCCTCAAAGCCTTGTTTCCTGTGGAATGGACATGCAGGTGATTTGCGTACAAGTAGATGGTTATTAGAGAAGCGAAACAGTAACTACCCACCTGTGTAGTGAGGCACCAACAGACTTTCACTAAGACTGAGGGTGTACAGCCTGCAGTCGCCGGAAAGCTCCCTAACTTTTCTAAAGTAGTTTTGGCAGAGAAGCTGTTTGTGCCATCTTCTACTCAGCAGTTCCTCTCCCTATTTTTATCTTCATTAATAGTTACATTATGGAAGTCGGTGGGGTGGGGGGAAATGAGAAGATGGTGCAAAGCATGCTCTGGCCACGTTAGCTCTCTGTTGGAACCAAAACCAGAAGTTGTCCCTAGTTATGGCTGCAGACGAAATGTAGATGATTGATAGGAAAACGCAAAATGCTTGAAGCAGACAGTATGCTAGCAAGAATACTTTATGCCAGGTGGAAAAATATCTATCCAGGTGGTATATACCACTGTAAGGATAAGTAATTTTTATAAATTTATCCTTTGTTCTGATTAACCTCTTGAAACGTTAAATGTTCTTTGTCTTTTACGCTTCTCTGTCCTCGTCAAGAGGAAACTTTGTCCTTTGCACGCCACTTGTGGAAGCGTTCTGAGAGAAACTGTGCTAGGAGTTAATGGAGTCTTGAGTTACGTTGCCAAAGGTGGCCACCCAGAACAGATGTGTTTCCAGTGGTTGAGATCTGACCATGTTCCTGGGTTAGCCTGAGATTAAAACTATCACTTCTACAAAGATTTCTGTGGTTCTAGTGGTATTAGGGTGAAGTTTGCTTCGACAGCGTTGAGCAGTTTCACCCTATGTTCTTAAAACTGAACTGCATCTAACACGCATTAGAACAAATATATTGTGATATTTAGTATAAGCGGTATTTTTCCATATTAAAGCCATGATCCATATAAATTCAATAAGTATATATATCCAAATAGAGGCTGATTGATAGAAGTCTGCCAGGTTTAAACTTTGGCAAATTTTCAGAAATTTTCCAAATTCTTTTTTCTTAGTTTGACTGAACGATGGATGTAGAATTTTAAATGAAGGACTGTGAGAAACATCTTTGCAGAGGTACCAAAGTGTCGGTCTGAGAGTAAATGCTCGGCACCTTAGACGTCTGGCTTAATTTCAGATCCCTAAAATGCAGATTTTTTTGTCAGAATTGTAACTGTTTATATACCACTTCTGTGCGAGTGAACTGGTTATTTTTTGTGACTTTTTAGTTAGTATGTTTTACTGTAGCTTGGCAAGGAGTTTTTTAGGTGAAAGTCAGTATCCCAAAATAGTAGGAATTCATTAGTGTGTTTTTGTACAATGAAAAGAGCATTTTTCCACATCGAAGCTGACTTTAAGATACATCATTTCGCAAAGAGAAGCTGTGCTGCAGTACTCTGAAATGCTGTGCCACAGCGTGTCTTTGGACAAGTTACAAGCTCTATGAGCATCAAAATGTGTTCTGAGCTCACATGTCAAACCCTCAGTGAAACTAGTAGCTGATGAGAACTGAAATTTAGGTTGTTGGCGTTTTTTCAGGAGTGCCATGGAAGGAGGGAAAATGCCATGAGGACAGAAAATACTTAGTTTGCAAAAAACTTGTTAGCACTTGATGAATTCATAAAGCTGATGCAGTGCTGTCTGTGATGGAAACAGGAGTATTGGCCTTAAGCATTAAGACACAGCCTCTCTGATTTACTCTGCTCTGCACAGTCATCGTGGAAAGTTTTCCCTTTCATCGGTAGCAAAGTAGTTTTAATGTAGCAGCAACAGCAGTCAATAAAACAGAAAAGTGACAGGAAACAACGTATTTTGGATGTCTTAGTGATTTGGATTCCAGAAACGCAAAGCCAGTGTGACAACTCTCTTGTGGCCCAAATTTAAAGACTTCTGTACTTTCTACTGGAGATGCCTAGTGGAGGAATATCTTTATTAATGACAAATTAAAGCTTTGATTAAAAAAGCAAACAGCACACCAGTACTGCATTGGACTGACTTGTGCTTTCATATCTGTTGGCCTTGAAAATGCTTATCATCAATTCCGATACTACAAAAGTATTGAGAGGATTATTTTTAACTGGTGCAATATAAATCTGTAGTACTTGAATTGCTGTATGAGAGATGCAGGATTCATTTGAAGGCACAGTGATTGCTTCATGAGGGGCTTGGAGATGAGGTGGCATTTTAAAAGCAAGTCTAAAAGCACAACCTCCCCCCATCTCATCAGGAAAAGCACGCCCTAACTCGATATGGAAATAGCACAAACCAGATCTACTCATTGGATATTAAAAAAATACATATATGTCTGTTTAAAATTGAGAGCCTAAACTACTGTTTGCCTTTTGCTGTTCCATTTTTCAAACACGTTCACGGAAGTGATTATTTTAAGACAAGTATGTAGCCGAGATGGAACTAAAATTCAGAATGATAATGATCTCTCTTTACTGCTAGTGTTTCCCATGTCCCTCCTTTTAAATAATTGATGTGCAGTGTATCATGATTACTACTGCTGAGATGAATGGAAAGGCATTTAGAACAGCTTTTTCATCCATTTTGTGGTCTAAAGGTCTGAGTCATTGACGCTGCTGAGTAGGGCAGTATGAGGCTTTGGAAAGTGTGCCATAAAGATTTGCCGTATTTCTCAGGTGAAGTTCAACTGCTCCTCACAACACATCTTGCATCTCTTGCACTCATGCATAGCCTTTGCTCTGCTACAGCAAGAAGTATAGTTGGGTTTTTTTACTGTTAGTGAAAGATCTGATTTTACTTAAAATCAGAAATGGACAAATTATTGATTCCCACTTTTTTTTCAAGGTTATGCTGTGGAACCTGCAGAAAGCTCGTCCTCTGTGGACCACAAACCTGCAGGAGTGTGAAACGGAGGAAGACAGTCCACAGTCAGCTGGCCAGTTCTTTAACCCGCCACTCGCACATTCCCTGTCTGTCGCATCATGCGGCAACATCTTTGGCTGTGGAGCTCAAGATGGTAAAGTCAGAATATTCAGAGTCACTGGTGTCAAGTTTGAACGTGAGCTGGAGTTTCAAGGTCACAGCTTGGGAGTATCGCAGGTCCTCTTTATGCCAGAAGCATACTGGTTGTTGACTGGAGGAAACGACGGGAAAGTCTTGCTCTGGGATATCAGCAGTGATGTTGGAAAGCAGCAGAAAAGTCCAGCAAAATCTCTTCAGAAAAGGAAGGCCCAAGCACCTGCTTCCACCAGAAAAGATGGAAAGCTCAACAAAGTGGCCTCCAATGAACATGCTAGAGTTTTACCAAAGCTAACCATTGAGCACGGAGAGAAGGTGAACTGGATCTCTTGTGCAGAGATCAAAGGCTCCAAGACAGTATTAGTTGCTGATCAGAGTAGTTCTGTATCTGTGTATCCATTGCCAGGACCTTAGACGCCGAGATGTTTAAGGAAGTTTGTGGGGAGAAAATACTTCTCAGAGTATTTGAAATGAGCCCAGTTACATCTGCTGACAGTGAACTGAACAGTGAAACCTGCTGCGTCCTTTGGAAGGGGAAGGGATTTGCTGTGTACTCATGCAAGTACCCATGATGGAACTGGCCTCGCCTTATGTTTTTCAGTGGCTGTTGGTATTCACTGCAGCTGTTTCTTGCAGGGTTGGCAGTTTGCTCCTTGAATTTAAGTGAAACGGGTTTCAATAGATTTAGGGATAATATTAGTTCATGACTAAGCTGACATAATTAAGGTTGAAGGACGAGGTTCATGCTAACGGGGACACCCACAATGCTAAATGAGGATGCTGAACAGTCATTGGCTGAGCTCCTTGCATTTTGAACTATTTCAGTGCTTTACTTCACTCTCCCCATTAAACTGTGTCACAGTTAGCGTAAACTGGCCATAGTGGAAATATATTTTTCATTAGTTTGTCAGCAGCTGCATATAAGACTAGAGAAGCGTCAACTAACTAATGAGTAATCAAATTACTTAAACAGTCATTGCCAATTGGATTTTTTCACGCTGCGGTAAGCAAAAGTGCAGGGGAAAATGTTAACATTTGTTTAATGCGTCAGCTGTCTTCTGCATTCAGTTGTTTATCCCACGGAAAAATAACTATTACACTTTTCTTAATAAATGCATTCTCTGTCACTGCTCCCTTGTGCTTACATTCGCTCTAATACTGCCAAACTTAGGTGCCGTGCAAGATAGTGTCAAGAAGGGTAATGTGTATCCCATCACAGGGGGAATACGAAGGGCCAAAGGCACTGCTCCTCCTTACCCAAATACTTCCACTGTCTTCCCAAAACTGTAGAAACACTATGAGCAGAACTTGGCCGTTACACCTTGCTAGAAGCATCTCTTAATTTGCAAGTTGAAAATGGGGAGAATGTAACTAAGTGGGAATGCTGCAGCTCTTGACATGTTCAATTCATGCTGGATTTCCCATGGAATGGGCAAATAATTAAAAGAAAAAAAAGCTTTTTTTCTCAGGCTGTCCTTAACCTTTCAGAAAACTGAATGCCTGGTACTGGCTGAAGACCTGCTTCACTGATGTGGGATTTATGCTGTCTTGTTTCACCAGCTGTGCTGTGATCAGACGCGCACTATCTATCTGCCTTCGTTTTTTCTTTTTGATGGAAAAATTTCCAGCTCTTTTTTTGCATACCCAGCTCCTGAAAATCATTAGCCAGTTGTGCTGGTTGTCCATCCTTTATGGAAGAGATTCCAACCGTCTTGGTTTAGCTATCCTTCATCCTCAAAACAGCTCCCTGCAACCAAATACAACTCATTCTCATCCAGAACTGATTTTACCGTCTTACTTTTTAAACAGGAAAAAAAAAGGCTAAAAAGTAATCTGCTTATGCAGCCTTTAACAGCAGGAGACTCTGTCCCAAGACACAAACTGGTGGGCACAACAGCAAAATGAAGCCAAAACACAGCAAAAAAAGCAGAATAGTGTCATGTCACCTCTAAATTAATTTTGTGTATGAAGACAAACAGGATCAGTGGGTCAAAGGAAGCAGTCCAAATGCGTAGGTCTGTATGTGATACGTTCACGAGCATGTGTCTGTGCATCTATGACCTATATTTGGATATACAGTCTATAAAAAGCCTCGGCACAAACAACCTCCAGCAGGAGTCAGATCCCCTGTCCCTGTTGCTGCTGCCTGCTTCAGGAGGGAGGATCAAGCCCACTCCAGCTTTTATTTCTTCTCTTCGTGTTCTCCAGGAGGATGGCTAAAGCCAGCATCTCCCTGCGCTCCCTGAACGAAACGTTAAACAGGTCATTGAAGGGTTGTGCTAGCACTGCACTAAGGGACAGGGAAGGACGAGGGGCGTAGAGGACTGGGGCAGGGGAGAGGAGAAAAACCTGTGCTTCCTTGGAAATTTTTGTGGGTAACAGAAGATGTAAATATACATTGTGTGTTTGTGGGAAGGGAGTGGGTCCTGAGCAATCTTCTGTTTCTTTTTTACTCATTAGGGAGGGAAGGGGGACAGAGCCACAAGCTGCACGGTTTTGTGAATGCCATTCTGGCCAGCCTGCAAACTGCTAGTCCTGGTGGTTTGCTGCAGGATTTGCGCAATTGCTCCATCAGCAAAGGCCTGTCGCTGCATGAAGCATTGCTGGCTGGTTATGGGTAATGGGAAGTTTGGGTTCGCACTCTGCTGCTGTTGTAAATGGGAGATTTGGGATGAACTGAATTTGGGAAAATGCCTCAGAGTTTGGAGGGTTCAAGATAGGAAGTAAGTGGTTATCATTAGCAAACCCCCCTCCCCCCGAGAATGGACCTTTTTTGTAAGTTTAAAGAAAGAAAATCACTGTTGCTGAGGAATTGGGACATAGGTGATGCTGATTCACCCTCCATTTCCAAAGCCTGTACTGGGAAGAGGAAAGCCTGACCGACAGGTTCATTGGCTCCATGTAAAATAATCCAGCCCAAGCTGCCCCTGCTGGCACCAGTCCACGTGTTCAGCTGCAGTGCGACAGCACAGTCACTGATAGATGGTGTCTCTAACCAGCTGGGCAGACAACAGTCACGGGATGAAATGTAAGCCATGAGCGCGGCTCTTCAGGAAGAAGAGCTGAAAAAGGGTCTGACATTCTCCACAGCTACAGACAGGTGGGACAGCGTTCCCGCTCAGTGGACCTTCACATACAGCTTTTCATACACTACCTTCAAAGGTACTGTGCAAATGGTATCACGCACCAGCTGATAGACTTGGTAAGAGGCTGCTCCTCTGGTCGAGGTACTAACATTGCTCACCAACGGCTTTTATGACTCCCGATTCACACAATGGCAACCGCAAAAAAAGATACTAGAGACCTGACCAGAGAGAGAAACAGAAACATGGGAACCACTCGTGAAAGAAAAAGTGAAAATTAGGCCTGTGGGAAACTGACTAAAGAAGAATACGTCTAACTGGTACCATGAAGGGAGTGTGCAGGAAGAGCTGTGGAGAAGTGTGGGGCTCTGCATTGGCCCGGAAAATAAAACCGATGTGATGGCTCTAAAGTAATGAAAAATGTCATTTTCTGTAAATGCCTGAACAGCGGAAATGAGGTTATGCATACAACCACACTTTCAGAAGAGCAGGAGTGCTAGATCTCTTACTGCAAATCTTCCAAGTACAGTTCTGTATGCTACCAAAAAGCTTTCTGGTAAAGAACGGGGATGTGGTTTGTGCATACACGAGACAGACATTAGAGGTCACCCACTCAATGGTAACTTCACTTACATTAAAGGAGAAAGTGTTTAGAGGCTGTGATTGAGATGAAAGCAGGAGGTTTAATCCATTCTTCCTCGTTTCATTCAGAACTTGGATCAAGAGACAGCAGCACTGATACTATCAGAATTTACAAAAAGCTGTAGAAGATTAGTTATGGAGATCGGTCGTACCATGGTGTAACTGAACAGATATTTTTAGACACAAAATTAGCAAATGCTGTAATGTTTGCTACAGACGCTTAAAAATACACAAGAGTGATTTACAGACAGGCAATATATCCCATATCAAAAAAGTGCTGGGAAGATAAAAACAGTCAAATCCTAAAGCATTGGAATAAAGGC